ATTTCCTTCACGTTCACCTCTTGGAGCCTCTGCTAGCCTGAGCTATCGATTCTTCAACAGCTCGTGGAAGTACTTCTCTTCTTTTCCTCATGTTTGATCTTGATCATCTTTGTTCTTTATTGTATAGGTGCATTCCGGTGGAGATGGTGGATTCCTAGCTGGATTCAATAATGGCTTTTTGTGAGCTCGAGCTGATACCATCAGTAAGTTCCTTGTTTTTCCCTTCTTAACCTTCCTGATCGTTTTCTCCATTTCCTCATCATCTTTATGGATTTTCCTGTTGAAGCTATTGCGGAGATGTCCAGCTGCTCTTGATCTTCTTTGCAAGGTTCTTTTTCCTGCTCCTGCGCATGATTTTCTTACCTGACCTGAAGGCCCTCGCCTTTCTCTAGTGTATTTTTTGTAGACTGTCATGGTATAGGCTAGGTAGCTTAGTTTTCATAATTATGAATTCCTTAGTGTGGTATACATTTTCTCTGTAAATATCATAACATCTACTGTGGTTACTTTTGTGTATGTCTCTGCTCTTGTTAATACCCCTCTACTCTGATTCTTCTTGTCTTGATTCTCAAAGTGGGTAGTTGCGCCTTATCAATGTTTAAAATCTGTTTGCTTTCTACTGATAATTGATTTGAACTCTGAATTTGTATCAAGGTCTCATGCTCATATGCTTTATTTTGCCAACATATCTCCTTGCTCAGTTTGAATTTCAGCTATGTGAAGCTTTTTCCTCATTCCTTTTACATAATTGTGAAAGAATTTGGTATTCATGTCTCCATCCTTAAACCACTTCATTCCCGCCTTTTGCTTCCAGAACTCTTCCTCAATATACAAATATTTTTTCAACTCCGCTTCAGCCTTATTTAATTCAGATCTGTTCTCAGCGGTTGGGTTTATCTCTAGTTGGCATTCCTTCACCCTAATCTCATCTTCTAGAGTGGCAATGCTCTGAAATACATCACCAAAAGTGACCTTACTCCATTTTGCTAGAACTCCTTTTATCTTTTTTATTTTCGATTGAAACTTTATGAATGGGCATCCCTCGAACTCCACTTTCCAGTTCTCTTCGATGATCTTCTTAAAATTTGGATGTTTTGTCCAAAAATTAAGAAATTTGAATGGTCGCACTGTTATCTCCTCTTCAGATCCACATAAGACATGTAGGGGGGCATGGCTTGACCCTTGTCTCATGAGATGAAGGACCTCACTCAATGGAAGTATATTAAGAAACTCTTGATTGCATAATACTTTGTCCAGTCTTTTGAATATACACGCCCTTTCGATCCTGCCATTCAACCATGTATATTTACTCCCCGAGTACCTCAATTCTGTTAAGGCACAATTATTTATACACTGGTTAAAATCAACAGCTTCAAGATGGGTGAAATCTACCCCGCCTTCTTTTTCCTCTTCGATCCGTATTACAATAAAATCTCCACCCACCAACCATGGAAGAGACATTTCTTGGGCTACGACTTCTAGTTCCTCCCATAGCTCAAGCTTTTCTCTTGCATCACATCTAGTGTGTACTACTGTGAACAATATCTCTACATTGTTTTTGTTAAACTGCATGGTCAAGTGCTGCAAATTGTCCCTAACAACTTCCCCTAACCAATCATCATTCCACATAATCCATATTTTTGATGAGCAATTCCAGTAAGCATTCTGCATCCCTAATTTCCTTTTGTATTGTTCTAGCTCTTGTGGTCCTTGAAAGGGTTCCAAAAGGGATATAAAACTATATCGATGTCTCTTATTAAGGCCAGTTAATCTCTCAAATGCTTTCTGATATTTAACCGACCTTATATTCCAGAAGATTTCTTTCCCAATCATTGAGAAACATCTTCCGGTCTTTCCTTATTGCTCCTTGTTTTCACTTGAAGAGGTAGTGATGGTGCACATGATTTACTACGCTTAGCATCACTCTCCAGGCTTTTAATGTGTCTAGGGTAGATATCCCCTTCTATGACTACTATCTGTATAGTGTCTCCAATGTCTTGGTCTTCTTCTGTATCTCTTTTTCTTTGTTTCTCTTCTTCAGTAATTTCTTGTAAATCTGGATAACTTTTCGTTCTTATATCCTCCTCCTTGCCAAACTTGTATGATGATTCTCCTTCTTCTTCATTTCTTTGTGTGATATGTTTGTTCCCCATTACTTCGATAGCCTTATTGCTGCTCCTCGCATCTGCCTCACTCTCTTGTCGCTCCCCTTTTTCAACCGTTTGCGAGTCCGCTGGTGTTAGGCTTTGTTTTTGCTCCACAACCATCTTGGTGTTACTCTTTTTGCTGTATGTTCCATTTTTCCCCAAGGTCGATTCTTTTTCACCAAATGTTTTCTCAACCCAGTGTTTAGTGCCTTGACCTGTTTCAATTTCCACCAGTGTTACATCTATCGCTGGTTCCTTCTCTGTTTCCGCCAAGACTTCAAACTTGTTATCCGTGCTCACCACACTCTGCTGAGTATTTTTTTTGTTCCAAATTTGTTCTGTCTTTCTTCTTCCTTCTTTCCTCTACATGCCTCCATAAGTAACTTTCTGCTCTTTGTACTGCTCTTGATTTTTCGACCTTTGTTGCATCATAATCATGTGCTTCTTCCCTGTTTCTCCTTCCTGTACTTCCCCTTCTTTTTTATTCTTTTACCCTTGATACGCTCAAATTACACCTCCCTAAAGAAGCATAAGCGATCGTTATCAAGTAAAGAACCTAATTTGTAGGTTGGGGTCGATCCCACAAGAAAAGTGGCTTAGACTTTACTTTAACCAACAATTATATTCAATTAGTCAAATTACTTCCAGAAACAAGTAATTAAAGGGGGTTTTGTGAACAAATTGTAAGAATTCAATAAGTAATCAGTAATCAAAAGTCAATTTTGATTGTTATCAAGATGAGAGAAATAACTAGGGTATACGTGTTCCTCAAAAGCTCCTAACGCAGTAATCCTAGTAATAGCAATCATTTCCTAGTGCACTACATGCAAAGTGATAAGTTAGGAATCTCTAAATCGTTGGTCCGGCATCTAGAGAATTTCACCCCGCACCTTGGTCCGGCTACGTCTATATAATTTACTAATCCTTACCTTTACCTCATATTAGACATCATAATCGATGTTTGGCTTAGTTATTACTTCGCACCAATAGACACTAGCCTATTAGATAGTATCACACTAAATCTATGTTGATAATTCATTTGTTATTAACTACCTACTTGGTCTGACAAGTAGCAACAAGGCGAGTTCTAACGCGTGCACTCGTTAAAAAGACTTCTAAACGAAAGAATTATCAATGCATGCAAAACACTATTCAAGAATTACTTATTGACTATTCATACGATAATTCATTGTTTTAGATAATAGAATTATGAACTTATGTAAGAAGAATAATAAACCCAGAAATTTAACTTGAATTGCAACACCAAAAATCTTTCAAAACGAACTTAGGAAATTAAGAATTGCTAAAGTTGCAAGTTAATCTCCCAAGTCAAGTAACTAGAATAAAAATAATAAGGTCTAACCCCCAAAATTGAGGTTTACATGCCTTATTTATAGAAAACAAGTACCTAAATTAAAAGGGAAACAAAATAAGGAAGGTTGTTCAGGCACACGTCTTCATTCCACGAGACTGACTCATAGACCGTCAATGGATCTACGGTCTGTGAGTCCCTTCCGTCAGCCAGGACTTAGAAAATATTTCATTTTCCAAAAATCAGCTTCTCTGAAGCAAACGACGGAACTGCAGTACGGACCGTAGATTGATCTACAGTCCGTCAATCCCTCTTCGTAGCTCCATACTTAGAATTTTTCAAACATCAGGTACTAGAACCCTTGCAACATCAATCTACGGATCAACAGTACGGTCCGTAGATGGATCTACGGACCGTCAATGTCCACCATAGTTCCATACTTGATCAGATTTCCCTGATTTGCCTTCCATGCTTTGCATGCTGATCTACGACCACCATCTATGGAACGTTAATGGACTTACGGTCCATAGATCACCTCCATAGATGCCCTTTTCTGCATTCCTTTTAGCTGTCTCTTTACTTTTGCGCCTGAACATCTTTCCTGCAAAATATGATAAAAACACATAAAAACCAATACAAAAAGGCCCTAGACACACACAATTTTTAAGTGAAATGTATTAGAAATACCGTAAACTGTGGTATATCAACACTCTCAACTTAAATTCGTTGTTTGTCCTCAAGCGACGCACTAAGACTCTAGAAGACACTGGTATAGAAGCAAACATTTCAAGCACAAGCAATCACATGACTCTCTATCCCACTCACTTTCCGGGTGCAAAATTTGTTATCTTAGACTCGACAAGCTAATTCGTGCAGATCAAACCATGACAACGATCGACCAACCAATCACACAACATACACTGTTTCACCATCACCAAAGTACCAACTCACCGACAATGTAACTAGTTCCCTTACTTCAAATGAAATCCGTTTTCTTTCACACAATAACTATGATTTTGAATACAAGGATTCATTCAACACTCACACTCAGAAATAACTTCAATGCTCAGTACCATAGGCTTGTCCTTATTTTCACTGCTTAGACTCTCCAAACTAGACTCTAGGATCACTATAGGACTTTCTTGACTTGTAACGTAGGCTCGGGGTCAGGTGTGGCATATTTGGGTATTTCTTAGTGACTTTCTGCCCTCCTTGACATTACATTAGGCTTTTCAACCTCTTTTTGCCCTATTGTTGACATCCTGCCGTTTTACCTTCTTTCCCTTGATTTTATTCAATCATGGATGTGACTATAGACTTTGTAGATCTTTTTAATTTTTACTTTTATCTCTTTCTTGCGGTTTATTCTTTTTCTTTAGCTTTCAACAAGTCACATCCATTCCTCACTTTTCTCAATATCAAACTCTTTTCATACCCATTTTTCTTTCGGTTTCCTCTTTCATAGCCACCCTTAACTTATGGATTTTCCATTGGTTGAGGTGCACAATACCCAATGTCGGGTCAGGGCCAAGATTGAAGTTACTTTTTTACATTAGCCACCCTCAACTTAGGCCGAAAGCCTAAGTTGAGGTGCACATGTCCAAGGAGGGACCGGGGCCAACATAGTTGATTATGGGAAGGTGAGTTCAGGGTTTCGAAAGAAATGGTCTAATTTTAAGCTCAAAGCATTTGGATCAAAGGGAGCATTTATTTCATTTGGTTAGATCCTTCTTTTAGGCAGTTTGTGGACTTATCAGAATAAGGGCCTATGATCACTTCCTAGTCTCTAGAGTGAATTGTCTTTAGCAGGACTAACCGGGCAAGTTCTAGTTTTGCACAAAAACTGTCTGAACAATCAACTATTCTCACATACTCTTGGCACATAGTTTCATTATCAGATTACCCAATTTAAGTTTTAGCTTAAGTCATGCCATCAAGTTGATTCATTACCATGTCATACTCAGAGTCAACACATTCAACTTATCTTAGCCTACAAATTCTAGCACATATAACAAATTTTTGAACGGGTGTCAATTGTTTTTATAAGCCATCATGATTCATTCCTTTTCATGCTTCTATACATACGATCCTAACACATGCCGGTTCAACAGAAATTAAACAGTCTCTTGGGGAAAAAGAACACAGGCAAGAAAACCCCAAAGAGAGGATTTATGAGTTGGGTTACTCAGACTTCACCCTATCACTCACAATCCATTTACCCTACCCCTAACAAAAATAGATTGATTGTCCCTAATGTATACAAAAACAGTAACAAATAATGGATTGGGTGAAGCAAACCTGTGGCACATTGCGCCGAAGAAACATTAACAAACGGGTGGGTCCGATTTCCCAGGGCCCGCTGGAACCATACTTGGGTCACCCTCAGTAGTGCCCACATCAACCATCACACCCTCAGTAGTGCTCTCGGTCACTCTAACCGTACCATCAGTGTTGCTCACAACATCCCTCACGACAGGCGAGACCTCTACAACTAGGGCAGAACTCGATGCCCCTGTAATTCTCTCACGCATCCTCCGTTGGCCTAACTGTTCATCTAAAATCGAAGCCTTCCTAGCCTCCTTGTCCTACATACACTGTCTCTTTTGGGCTTTTTCTTTCTCAGTGTGACTAGAATAGTGCCTCTTGCCTTTTGTAGGTATAGGCTCAGGCCCATCCTCGGCAGTCCCACTGAATAAAACATCCAGCACCGTATCATCAGCCAACACAGTAGATGCAACCTGAGGCTCAACTGTAGGGGTGTTAAGAATGGCATCAATGTCGGTCCGGAGACTGGCTAACTTGGACTGAAAAGAGGATAGATCCATGGTCAGGGATGATCGCTCAAGGACTCTCAATTCAAAGACATCAATACGCTTGTTAACGGCCTAGATCTTCCGGTCCATCATTCCCTCAATCCTTTGCTCCATTCTGGCCTCGGACGCAGCTATCGATTTTTGCATCCAAGGCTGGATATGATGCAGCAGTGTGGCCATCTTAGCCTCTAATTTCTGTACTCTAGCCAATGGGACAACAACAACTCTTAATGGTGGTGTGGACCGGTATGAGCTAGGAGCCCTACTAGCAGCCTGAGAAGAGGAGGCCGGGACAGTATCGGTGTGCTCTGGAAAAATGGGGTTACCGTCCTGTGCCTGCCCCACTGTGTCTGCAAGATCTGTGCCCAAGGGAGGTACCTCAACCTGGGGCTCTCTACA